GTTTCTGCATCCATAAGCACTTTCATTACCCCATTATCATTGAGAAAATTTGTCTACATTTGCACATTATCGATTTGTCAGCGCAACCCCTAAGGGAGTGTGGCTCTGTGTCTGCCTATTGTCTGTACCTACGACTCTGTGTGTGTCTGTTCGTGTGTGTGTGTCGGTGTGTGTTCCGCTCCACTTTTTTTTGGCCGCCCGTTTGTTTTCCTTTATGTAAGGCCGGCTTTGTGGGAGGATGGTGGGGGTGGTTGTCATTCCCAACAGCTGTTCACCTGTCGGTCAGTAACTCGATTTTCCCCTTGCAGATGGCGGCTTTGTGGTGCTTCAGGGCACAACCTACTGGACGGATCTCTTTGTGCGGCACTTCCTCTTCCAGACAGAACCCGAGCACAGCATCGATTCGGACGATTTGCTCTTCTTTGTGCGCAAAAAGCACGTAAAGAGCTCTTCTCGCCATATGCCAAAATATGAGGTGAGTTCACCATTATATGCTACTCTCTGATCCCCCACTTAATACTGCTTCCCTGTGCTCTTCAGACTGAGGTGGAGGTATTCCGCAAGGACTCGCGCAAACTGCCCATCGGCGATCCCGATGTGGACTGGGAGGAGACGGTTTATCTCAACATGGTCATTCATCAGTTCGATTACACCCTGACGCTGGCCATATGCACCAGAACATCGCCCAAGGAGCTGCAGGTGCTGCGCAGGCACTCGCAGCGCGTCTACGCCAGTCCCAGCCGCAGGAAGATGGACACCAAGGGTGAGGGCGAGGAGATAACGTATCCGCACATCTGCTTCATGGTGGACAACTTTGACGAGGTGTTCAGCGACATTCTGGTGCGCGATGGCGAGATGGTGTGCGTCGAGCTGGTGGCCAACGACAAGGACGGTGCAGTTCAGGGCGTCATCTTTCTGGGATCCATACGCTACGATGCCCTCAAGAAGGTGTACGATGCCAGGGTTCGTTTGATTGCCACAAAAGCGAGTCGCTCGTCTTATTTTCTGTTCAATTCTGCAGCAATCGAGTCTCAGCTCCAAGGTGGCGCAGCGCATGTCGTTTGGGCTCTTCAGCAGCGGTGCCGGGGTGCAGACACGCTGCGAGTTTGTGCGCATGAAGGGGCCGCAGGGCAAGGGCCATGCCGAGATGGCTGTGACAAAGCCAAAGGGTTCCGGCGTGGAGACGCCCACCAGCGAGCCGGGCTTCTGTGCCACCGACATGTGGGACGAGTGGGAGGAGGAGAACGATGACTACTGCACCTACCGTCACCAGCGTCGACTGAGCGATCCCAGCGCCAATCTAAACAACTTCTCGAGGTACGGCTGGCGTACGAAGAATGCCAACGCTCAGGATATGGTGGGCAGCGGCACCAGCCCCAATGTCGGCGCCAAGGCACGCTCCGAAAACGAGGGACTGGACTCACTGGCCAGCGAGGTGTCGGAGATCGAGGCCGGCGACCTGCGCGACGGTCAGTTACAATTTTGTACTAATTTTCCGTATGGTTTTCTCTTCATTTAAGCTTTTCTTAGTTGCATGATTTTTACATTCATTCACATTCGTATTTGTATTTGTACGTGTGCCTTGCACTCATTGCTGTTTGCCGTTATTTACCGCTTCTTCTGCAAGCTCTCCTTTCCGTTACGTTTCGTTCCGTTCCGTTCCTTTCCATTCTGTTTATTCTTGAGTTGTTCCTCGTAATGTGTTGTGGTTCCATCGATGATTTTCCTTTACCTACTTCCAATTATCAAATTTATATATATACTTTAATCTACCTCCAAGCGACTCCAGATTTCAGAGTATATATATAAAGAACACCCCCCAGACATTGCCGAGAAAGCAGGACAAATATAATACACAAGGACAACCACAATTATTTCGTTATATCCCCCGTTCCCCTGTTGCAATATTTTCCCCTGTTTTAAGTTTGTTTCCATTCAATGTACACACACAAATATAAAAAGTTGAGAATGGGTATGGAAATGGATATAGAACTAGAATATCCCATCATTGATCCGCAATCCTTCCTTCTAACATCAACAGTTCCATTCCTGTACCCTCAATCCACATAACATCCTATCCTCTAGAATGTCTTTCTGGTTTATTATTTCACTGCTTTCTGTTGCCAATTATTTGTAAGTTGCTTGGGCCGATCCTCGGTTGTACATGTGTGTGTGTGTGTGTGTGTGTGTCGATGTATCAATGCTTATAAACGCAAAAACCGATCTATATCTACTTGTAGATCAGCAACGTCCTGCTTTCTCGGCCTCCGCGGCAAAACTGCACTCGAATCCGCAGTGCTCCGAGTCCGAAGTGCTCGCCCCCACACAGGGCGACCTAGACAAGGTGCCCCCGTCACATGAATCTCCAGTTGGTGCAGCTGCAGCGGCAGCTGTTCCGGCTGTTACACCACCGCCCCTAAGCGCTGCCGTTGAGGTGACTGTGGCCAGCGAACAAGCTGGCACGAGCTCGACCACTGGCTGCAACTGCTTTGGCGGCAAAAAGTGCAAGAAGCGCTGGGCATCGGCCAACAGCTCTGACACCCCGGAGATGTCCGAGATGTACTGCCCCAGATGCGAGGATCCGTCCAACGAGACGCCTGCCTGTCTCAGCAAAATGCCGGACAAGCGACCGTCTCGACTCAAGCCAAAGTCCAGCATTCTGAGTGTGGAGAGCGAGCTGCTGGTGGCCAAAAGAAGCAGCCTGCGCCTGCCCGCGGACAGCAAACGCAAGCCGCTGGGCGGTAGTATCACGAGAAGCGCCTCCCTTAGTGCCGCCGATCGCAGAACGAGTCTTCCTGTGGCCACCAGGAAGATATTCACACCAAGACTGCGCCCCGCCAAGGGCAAGGAACAGGAAAAGGGCAAAGACAAAGAGAAAGAGAAGGATAAGAATAAGGAAAACGACAAAAAGTGTTCGAATCAGAAACTCAACGGATCAGCGAGTAATTTTCTGTCCAAGATGTCGCCCAAGCGGCTAAGACAAGCCAAGGATAAGGACAAGGAAATTGACAAGGCCAAGACCAAGGTGAACATTCCTCCATCTAAGGCAAAGGCTGGTAACAATAACAATTCAAAGACTCCCAATTCGATACCGCCTGCTAAGACGGAGGAATATGAAATAGCCGACGATGCCACCTCCTTGAATGGCATCAAGTCTGAGCTGGGCGCTGGTGGGGCACCCAAGATGGCCATTATGAGCGAGAGCGAAAGCAAGCTGATGATCAGCGTGCGCGGGCGCGAAGAGCTGCCTGTTGGGGAATCAGAGTCCACCACGACATCCTCGCAACGCTTCGAGAAGTGTGTTCTTGTACCTGTTCAGCCGGAAGATCATCCACTGCAGCCGGCCAGTCGATCCGGCAATGAGAACGATAACGAAAACGATGAGCTGGTGGCCTCGGTTGTCTCGCCAACGGAGCTCACACCGATGCTGGACGTGGCCAATGGCAATCAGACGTCTAGTGCCACTTTGCCACGCACCTCCAAGCAGTCGCACAGCAGCAAGATGTTGCATCTGGTGCCCAAGCGTCGCACCCCGGACGGCACCAACATTTACTATTGGTGCGATGTGCCCAAGAAGGCCCTAAAAGGTCATTGCCAAGGATTCATTTTGTATATTCCTCCACCTCTGATGCATGCCAGTAGCCTTGTTTGCCTGCAAATTTAGACAGCAACTGATTTTGGTTTGTGTTTCCTCTCTCTACTTTTAGAACTCGACGATGGTGCCTACAATCCGCTGTGGACCAGTCGCGGCTTTACGCAGTCCTTTCACTTCTGGAAGGAGAACCGAAGACAGCAATCGACGCCGCTCAATGCATTCCTCACCTATGTGACACTGCCCTGGTGGAGCATTGCAAAGGGTAAGAACAAGGAAACTCAATCCCAGCCGTTTCTCACATTGAAATCTATTTGCAGATCTACTGGATCATCGGGAGACGCCCATTCTGACCTTTTAGTATTAAATTTATTTGCGATTGTGATTTGACTTTATGCTTTATAGTTAGTTTTTATCTCTATTTATTTTTTATTGGATCGTGTGCGCCTGCCAGTTGTGTGATCTGTTATCAGTTACCTCGTTGTGCAGTCTCTCAATCGCGTATTTCAGTTTATTAATCAGTTTCGCTAAATCAGATTCGCTCACTTCGAATAATGAGTTTCCTAAGCGCATCCCATGTCGGATTCAGAGCCAACCAAACAAATTTATAAACTATAATATATGCCACGAGATAATGAACGATAATGATGCAACCGGAATATATAGATATATGTAATTGTAATATTATTTGTAAATTATATGGCAACATTTATACGACGAACTATACAAATATACTAATAGAAAACGGACATGAACGAACGTAAGAGATCTTCCTACCCATTCTGGCTAAGGAGCAAAGCAGCTGAAACCCCCACACCCTACACCCTACTCTTAATCAGAATGAGCGCGAGAGATTTCTCTGGTGACATCCGGCTTCGGCTTGAAGATGTTCTCGGTTCTCCGGCTTGCTTAGTCTGTTTTTGTGCCTCGCCTGAAGCGGTCCGCTTGTTTGCCTCTGCAGTTGTCCAGTCCCGCCCGAGACCACTTTGACCGTCAAACGATAACGCGAGAAACAAAGACGCTGAGATGATGGGGCAATCGCTGCTGCTGCTTGTCTGCCTCGCTTGTGTCTGGCAGACAATTAATGCAGCCTCCGCCTGTCCGCGTGCGCCCACCCACTTGCTTCACGGTCGACGTACACGCGGCGACAATGGATACAAACTAATTGTGGCTGATGGACCCAATGGATATGTGCCCGGCAAGACATATAATTGTAAGTAGAGAAGGTTTCATAATCATCCCTCGGGTCACTTGAGGCCTGAAAACAAGAAGAGCTAAGCGATAAGAACCCAACATTCAGAGCAGAGCAGAGCAGATGTTTTCCATCTTTTCGTTTTTGTTCCAATTGATAACGATGGTAGATACGAGTACACTTTTGAATTGTAATAGAAAAGTATTTAATTTATTGTTTTAACATGGAAATATGAATTTAAATGGCAGATATAAAGACGATAAAGTGGATCAAAATTAAAATTTAACATGATAAATAGAAGATAACTTGAACTGAAGCTGCTCTGACCACTCTCCCTGCAAAATGAAAGTGGAAGCAGTCTTGGCACAGATGAATATACAATTTTCCACCCACTCGCTCTACAATTTGCACTAAATTGTATTGAGTGCTCCACTAAATGGTTAAGCAATTGTACAAAACAAAAACTAAGTAATTACGGGTGACACATTATGTGATGCCTGGAGGTGTTTCTCGTAGAAGTACAGTCTCTTGAAGGACTTACCACACTCGGAGCATGTGAACGCGTGTAAAGTGTGTAGGCTCTGGACATGTTTCTTGTAGCGCGACTCGTGGGTGAAGGTCTCCTCACAGTACTCGCAGAAGTACACAGTTGTAATGATCTTTGGCAGAAAGTGAAACAGGAGCATGTAGTGCTCAATGCTATACGTGAGAGTTGCCTTTCGGAAGAACCTCTGATCGATCTGCTCCGCATACCATGAGTTGATGAGGTTGAGAATGCGTTTCATCTCGCTCAGGGTCAAGTGACAGGCAAGCTCCTTGTTTACCTCTTCGGTGAATGCGTTCAACTGCTGGACTAGGCGTTCGGTTGCCCCAATGTTCTTTGATTTCCTATAGTTCCAGATTGTTTCGTACTTGTGATACATTTTGCTAAACTTGGCGGCTTTTTTACGAAACTCTTCCGACTGCTCGAATAGCAGTTTATCCTCAAACTTAGGAACTTTTATAATACACAACTAAAAAGATAAGGAATATGCTAGTTAGGCGTATATTTTGCGATTTTTAAGGCCACATTTCTTACCCCAACTGTTTCCAACAGCTTGAGGTCATCTCCCAGAACCTTAATTTCAGGCGTTTGAGGTGTGGACAACTCTTTCTGTTGTGTTCTTTCCTCTTTTGTCTCTTTGATCTGTGCCTAAAAGGGTATACATTAGAATTGGCATGCTTCTATCATCGGACAGGCACTTACAACAAGATCTTCAATGATTGTGTCCTCACGGGGCTCTGCCAACTGGAGGAGGCTGTCAGCATCCAGCTTCGAGGAGCTTTTCAAATCCTTCTGTAGAGACTCTATAACGCTCGACGACAAACTAAAGTTAGTGGAGCATCTTTCTTGCTTTATTTTGGCCCGTTTTGCATCGCATTTTTCAGTGCAGGGTGAACGTTTCTGAGCTTTTGAAAGAGCTTTAACTGATCCCGACTGCAGCTTTTGTAAGTTTGGAGGCGGCGTGGGCATTACAGTTGTCATCGAAAATCTTCGTGTACGTTTCTTGGTCTGAACTGGGCTATTGGAGACGACAGTTAGCGAAGATCTGCGCTCTGGACTCTTGTGCTGATCCACTGCATCGTTATTTGTGTGAAGCTCTGAAGATTTTACACTGGCAACACTTGAAGGAATTATTTTTTTCCATATTGGTTTTCCCTTGGCTGACATTTCCACATTCTGTTTTACATCGATTTTTGGCAGAATCTCTACTCGCTCTATCTTTATGGGTGATGATCGTCTGCCTATAGTCGCATGGCTTATGTTTGGATCTATTTTAAATGCTGGCCTGCTGGCGCATGGAAGAATAGTTGGTTTTATCGAGGTAGACGCCACACAACGCTTTTTTATGGGAGTAGCAGAAACCATATTTAAAGTCTTTGCAGCTCCCAAGGGAGCTGGTGGCTCGATTGATGAACTGCCATTCAATAGAGGAGACAGATTGTATTCTTTGGTGGCTCTAGAAATGCTAGGACTAAGAGAGTTTGAAGCGACTTGCTTGACTTTCGATGGCGGCATGTTAATTCTGAAAGTCTTTGGCTCTTTTTCTGCTAATGGCTTGCGCAGACTTGCAGGAATTGCTGGTTTTATCAAGGTGGTGCTCCCATTTGTAGTACTTTTTAGATTTGTTAGAGCCGCAGGCCTTTTTGAACTAGCTTTCGATAAAGTTATTGGCTTTAGCAAATGGTTCATTGACGCTGACTTAATCCCATTGTACTGAATCACTTGAGTCATGTTGGAGCGATTTTCTTTGGTCTTTCCATTTTTAGGTGGCAATTTAGTAGCTTCAACGCCCGAGTGTTTGGACTCCTCTTTGAATGCTGGCAATTCCAGCTTGACGCAGGATACTTTCATAGGCACAGACTTTGGCACATCATTTTCAAGGGAGAGCATAATACGTTTTTTCACTTTACTCAAGCGCTGTTGAATTGCCTCCCGTTTGCGCGAGTGCCGCATAATGTTGTAGCTCTTCACATCACAAATGGTTGGCTCTCTTTCCAAATTTCCCGGCTTGCGGGCACGACGGAAATCTTTCGAGTTGTAGGCTTCTTTCTGGTTTTCGGTGTAGTTTGCTTTGTAGTACGTTTCCTGGATGGCCTCGGGCTTGCTGTTCACCACTTTTGGAGAAATGTGTTTCTTCTCCTCTAGTAACATTTCTTCAACTTCTGCCAGAATGTTTCAAAATAATTTAACATTTCATGTTTGAGTTAATGAAAAGCTTGCAGTGGACTTACCTTGCGTTTCGCAGTTGACATTGATCCCATCCACTTCCACATCGAAGGCTGCCAGGGCTTTCATTATATCCACATTGCTTGCCAGGTAATCGGATGATCCTGGTGCTACATCTGCATCTTCCATTTCGCCAGCCGACCCAGAGTCGACGCTGCTGCAGCTGTGCGCCTGCGATTGCGTTTCATCTTCTGAGCTCTCCATTGCCAACAGTTCCTCGACGCTGTACACATTCTGTTCCTTTGTGAAGTGCAGAATATCGCTGTGAGACCGCTGTACGTGTCTGATGAACTCCGGCAGATGCGTGAAAATGTCCCTGCAGAAATGGCAAAACATGGCCACCACGTTGTCCTTGGGCGAAACAACAATGTCCCCACATTTTTCAAAGTGCACATGTCCTCCGTCGCCCAGCAAGTCAAGGAACGAAGTCATTTTCAATTAAACATTTAAACAAACAAATGACAAACAACAAAAAACGCGCCGTCAGGGTGATTGCGGAATTATCGATTTAAGATACCGACAGAACATACAGAAATATACTGTAAATATACACAATCATAGTTTTAGTGTTGCGAAATATCGAAATGTACCCGTGCCATTGCTGACACTATCGAATGGAGTGATAACTCACCCGCGTATTTTCAATCTTTTACAGTACTCCTGCTCGGCTCTCGCACCCACTCCAAGGTGCAACATTTCACCCACTTTACGATCACTGCAGAGGCCCAAACTGGCGCCAGGCGCCCCCAAGTGGCCAGCCCTCGGCGCGTGGGCCGGTTCCAGCTATTCAGTGATTCGCTAACCCAATTCAATGATCGCTGTGTGAACACTGTCTCGGAGGCGGATGATTTGCCCAAGACGGAAGTCCAAGTGATGTGGGTAGCTCCCGAGTCCGGCTCTGGGTGCGTCTCACTCTCCGCCATGGTTTACGAGGGTCCACGTGCATGGTATGCGGATGACGGCAATCTGTCGGCGGTGATTTGTGAGCGCAAACCCGACGCTGCCACGGCCCAGAAGGAATGCTGCGCCTGCGACGAGGCCAAGTACAGCGTAAGTGGCGCATTAAGACAACCACAAGGTAATCCCCATCATTGTGTGCTTGCCCCCTTTGCAGTTTGACTTCGAGGGCATCTGGTCGAATGAGACGCATCCCAAGGACTATCCGTTTGCCATCTGGCTGACGCACTTCTCGGACGTGATTGGCGCCTCGCACGAGTCCAACTTCTCGTTCTGGGGCGAGAACCACATAGCGACAGCTGGTTTCCGGTCGCTGGCCGAATGGGGATCTCCAGCCGCACTGGAGACGGAGCTGCGTGCCAACGGGCCCAAGCTGCGCACTTTGATCAAGGCGGCGGGTCTCTGGTATCCCAATGTGAATGAGAATACTTCCTCGAAGTTCCGTGTGGATCGCAAGCATCCCAAGGTGTCGATGGTGTCGATGTTTGGACCCTCCCCGGACTGGGTGGTGGGCATCAGTGGCGTTGACCTTTGCACCGACGACTGCAGCTGGAAGGAGTCGCTGGACTTTGATTTGTATCCATGGGATGCTGGCACCGACAGCGGCATCTCCTACATGGTGAGATCACTCAGCGTGCCTGGAGTGTCTCCCCCTTAATCTATGTCCATTTCTGCTGCAGTCACCCAATGCAGAAACACAGCCACCTGAACGGATGTATCGCATCACGACAATGTACCCCGAGGATCCCCGTGCGCCGTTCTACAATCCACAGAGCCGCGAGATGATGCCACTGGCCAAGCTGCGTCTGCGCCGGGAGAAGATTGTGTCGCGCAACTGTGACGATGAGTTTCTGCAGGCACTGCAGCTGGAGGTGTCTGAAGATGCCGAGGAGCAGGACTCACGCGGTACGATTTGCCATTAGCCATTATGCATTTTAACCTTCCATCTTCTGCCTCCCCAGCTGAGTGCCGTGTTAGCGACTATTCCACGTGGAGCCCCTGCTCTGTGACGTGTGGCAAAGGCATTCGCATGCGCGGCAGACAGTATGTGCAGCCACAGCAGGCGGAGCAGGCCAAGTGCAGTCGCCAATTGGTGTCCAAGGAGATGTGTGTGGCTGCGGTGGCCGAGTGTGCCAACGGCTCAGCTCCCAGCCATGAACGGGACGAGGATGAGGGCGAAAACCTGGCCAACTCGCAGTCTCTGGTCAACGAGAATGGCGAGGGTGCCGGCCTCTGCAAGACATCGCCCTGGAGCGTTTGGTCCGAGTGTTCTGCCAGCTGCGGCATCGGCATCACCATGCGCACGCGCTCGTTTGTCAACCATCTGGGTCGCAAGCGCTGTCCGCACATCACCATCGTGGAGAAGAACAAGTGCATGAAGCCGGACTGCACGTACGAGCAGGTGGAGCTGCCCGATCCGAGCTGTCCCACCACACAGTGGAGTGATTGGAGCCCTTGCTCTGCCACCTGTGGTCGCGGCGTGACCATTCGCACGCGTCTCCTGCTGCTGGAGAACGGAGCGGAGAAGGAGAACTGCTCGCAGCGCATGGAGTTGCATCAGCAGAAGGAGTGCGTCAATCCGCAGGACTGCCACATCAACATGGAGCTGGCCAAGGATATTTGCGTGCAGCAGCCGGACTCTGGTCCATGCCGTGGCAGCTATCAGCGCTACTCCTTCAATCCGCACTCCAATCGTTGCGATGCCTTCAGCTACGGCGGCTGCCGCGGCAACAGGAACAACTTCCTCACGGAGAACGATTGTCTGCACACCTGCAGCATGATTGGCTCGAGTTCGGGATCGACTGACCAGGATGGCAACCTACCCAAGGGCTGCATCATGTCCGAGTGGGCAAATTGGTCAGCCTGCAGTGTCAGCTGTGGCGTTGGCTTCTCCGAGGGTCATCGCTTTGTCATCAGCGAGCCAAAGCATGGCGGCCAGTCCTGTCCCAAGCGTCTGGTCAAGCATCGTCGCTGCACCATGCCCGCCTGTTAGCTGCAGTAGTCAATGTAATCCATGGGGGATTTTAAGCAATAATTAAAGATTTAATAAATATAAACACAAAATCACACCACGCAGTAACGCATGAGATACTGACGCGCCTTCCAGTGGTTGCCATTGGCGCGGTAGATCAGATGCAGATTGAAGGCCGTCTCGTGCTGCAGTCCCAGCGTATCCTCATGCTCGTCAATCAGCGGATGCTTCACGGCCAACGCCTTTTCGTAGTACTCAACTGCGAGGTGGAGTATGTTGGCCTGATGGTAGATGCGTCCAATGTTGTAGAGAATCTCCTGCTGTGCCGCGCACTTGGAGAACTCATCGCCTGCGGAACGCAGCTCCTTGTAGCGCTCGGCAAAGGCCACCGCCTGAGCCACAGCTGCCGACTTCCTGAGCACCTTCTTCTGCAGCGCCAGCTGATTGAAGACGACGGCTATGGAGAGGGCTACCAGTGGATCTGGGTTCTCGCGCAGCATGGGCACATACGCATTCAGGGCATACTTGAAGGAGCTGCAATTGAGATGGTAGTGGCCCAGGAAGATGCGCATGTGCTGATCGACCAGTGGCTGGCGATTCAGCAGGCGTCGTATGTAGCGGCAGTAGCGCATGTCCTCCCCCTTCTGCACGAGCAGGGATTGCAGATTCCACAGATTGACCTGATTCGGCTGCTTGGCAATCAGCTCTCGCAGATACGAGAACGCAATGGCGCAATCGTCATTGAAGTAGCACGCCAAAACCATAATCCGCTCAATCTCGTGATGGTAATACGTGAACCTCTTGGTGGTGACCATGGCAAAGCAGAGCTTCTCCGCGACACCGTGCATGCCGTGGGTGTGTGCCGTGCGCATGAGATCCAAAAATAAATCATACTCATCCTTGATGGTCAGATCGGAGGCCTCCGAAGCGGCACTCTTGCCGGGATCCTAAAAGGCAAATCAAATTATAGTTGAAGTAATTTTAATTGCATATTTTAGCTGCCTACCTGCTGCTCGGGCTCTGTTGATCCCGTCGCTCCAGCTGCCAGACTTCGCATCTGCATGATGGCCTTCAGGCTCTCGGCATTGTAGGTGCTCCCACCGTTGGCCGCCGCAATCATTTCCTCGCGGTTCTTCAGCTTGATGGAGTGTCTGCTGAGCAGCACATATCCGACATCCAGAAACTCCTCGATGCGTCCAATCTGCTTCAGCATGACGCATCTCTCGTACAGCAAACGAGCAATCAGCGGCTGACCTTCGACTTCCCCAGACTGTTCTAGCGCCTCGACGGCCTCCTCATGCCGGCCCTGCTGCTTGAGCAGCGCAGACAGCGTGAACTTGGCATCGTAGCAGACGGGCGCCAGCTGAACCACTCGCTGGTAGCACTGGATGGCCTCATTGGTACGATTCAACTGGCGCAAACACTCCGCCTGCCGCAGCCACACGAAGGCGGGACACTCGAAGGTGTCGCCGTCTGTGATGGGACTCATGAGGGCTATGGCCTCGGCATACTTGTGCTCCTGCATCAGGGCTTCCGTGATGTCCATGTACAGCTCCACGCGGTCCACGGTGAGCGTGATGTGCTCCTGGACATTCTGGATGAGGTAGCCCAGGAGGTGGTGGGCCCGCAGATGGATCAGACTCACACAGAGCTTGGCTCTCAGCTCGGGCGCATAGTCGTCGGGTATGACGCAAAAGTAGATCATCTCCAGGCTCTCCTCCTGGTCGTCTTCCAGCTCAAAGTTTGTCCGCTCTCGCAGACAGCTGAGCACCTTGGAGTATCGCTTGTTGAGGATCAGCAGCTCCAGGTACATGTTGAGATCCTCCAGGCTGAAGCGGGCACCGCACACACTGTACGCCCCCTCCATGGCCTCCAAGGCGATCGTATGCTTCTCCAGCACGTGAAAGAAGCGCGCCACATTCTTGGCCGTGCTGAGGCACGTGCTCCACTCCTCGGGCGGCATCAGCGGCAGCATCTTGAGGTACGTGAACATGGCCGCATTCGTCTCGCCCATTTTCTCCAGCAGCTGCGCCTTGCGCAGCCTCAACAGGTAACCCTTCGGCAGCACCTTGATGGCCTTGGTGTAGATGAGACGAGCGCGTGCCATGTTGCCCTGCTGCACCAGCAAATCGGAGACTCTGATCCACATGTCACGATCCTGGGGATTCAAGTGGGCCGCCAGCGTGCTAAAGTGCAGGAACTTGACCTCGTCGCGATTCTCGTATATCTCGGCCAGCGTGTAGAAGGGCTCACTGGCCAGCGGGTTCTGGCGGATGATTTCCATGCAAATGCGTTCGGCTGTCTCGTAGCGGCCGTACGCGAAGCTCAGGTTCGCCTCGCCCATCAGCCCTTGCAGAGCGTGGCTCAGCTGGCTCTTGCGACCCAGATTCCCGCCACCGCCGGAGCGCGCACCTTCCTGCTGCTGCCCCAGCATCGGTTTACTCTGCGCGGAAGCTGTGGGCTGTTCCCGGCTCTCATCACCGTCTGCTTCCTCCACGCCATTGTTTTCGTCATCTTCGTCGCTGGGCTCGAGCTTTGTGCAAAAGTCGGGAAATTCTAGACACTGGACACCCTGCACATAGCGCTTGATGAGTGCTCCTTCCTCCTCGTCTTCGTTGTTCTGGTCACTGTCTTCGGCCTCCCCTGTAGCCATGTCTATGATGTCCACAACCCTAAGGGGCTCCGTCTCCTGGAACTGCTCCAGCTCATTCTCCGGCACATCGTTGCTCTCAATTTCTTCAATTAAAACCTCATTCGAGTCGGAATCGTTGGTTTGGTCCATAGTAAACAAATGGAATTAGAGATGGTAGAATCATCGCCATTGAAAACCACAAAATACCGATATAAGTATCATCTCTACTGCAGTTTCAAGTGGTGTGACCGTGTGGTGCAAAAATCAAAATCCAGCAATAGAGTTGCCAGACAGTGCCAAGGGGAAGCGAATTAACGGAACTTTTGTTTGCATGTTGCTCGCGTAGCCTATTTGTGCATGTTTTGTGTTTTTTTTTTGTTTAATTCAACCAAAGCGCAATTACGCTGTCGAAATGAATTTGCAACTTGTAGGTGCAGCTAGCAGTGGTTAATGCTTTTTGATAATGTTCCCTCATAAATTACAGCTAGATCGGCAGCTGTCCGAGATGGGCACCAAGTCGGATTTCTGGCTAAAGCAAGCGGTAACGTTCAAGCTAGCGCAGCCAGAACCAAAAAACGGAACAGATGCCTCTGAAAATATTCATCGTTTCAAGCATGAGAGGTATGTAGGTGGTAATACGAAGTGCTGACTGCATTTGATTGACTTCCATTCCATTTATGCAGGTCGGCAGCCGATCTGCCTGACTACAAGCCGAGTGAGAAAATGTTGCATGCTCTGGCGAACAATTTCACCGACGCAGAGTTGATAGATAAGGACGCCATCTTTGAGCATTATTTGAGTACCGAAAAGTTGGAGTTTTACAATGCGTCCTCGGTGATGTTGAAGCTGCTCACCATCGAGGATGTGAGCACCATGAAGCTGTACTCGCAGCTCATCGAGCCGAATGTGGTGATTCACAAGACAAAAGGAAATATGTTTAAAGCCGCTCTCACCTCTAGCGCTTCTGTTAATGCCGAGGAAGTGGTGTCCCCGGGAATCGATGAGGTTGTCTTGATACCCAAGCGTAGTTTAATTTCCTCGCCACTGCCAAAAGAACTCATATTGGCACTGATTCCCCACCCGCATGAGATATTGCCGCTCCAAAATCCGACGCGCCGCTTTGTGGCCAGTGTGGAGCAGGTCTCCCGCACCAGTGTTCACTTCAAGTTCGGTCATAGAGGCATTCCGGACGACATTGAATGGCTGTCGCAACGCTATCATGTCATCCTCCGCTCCACGCGTATCCCGATTCGTTGCATGTACCGCGCTCTGAACAAGCTCACGGAGATGCCAGGACTCCGTCGTTATCTGTTTCCCTTTCCAGATTGGCTAACCACAATGATAGCAACCTCGCAGATTGAATTGCATGACTGCAAGCTTCCCACTTGGATGCAGATCGGACCGACGCCACCGCCGGCCCCTCCAGCAGAGATTTGCCTGCTGAACAGGACCATCAGCGACAACAAAGAACAATTGGATGCGGTGCGGAGGATTGTGGCCGGACCCAGTTCCAAAGCTCCATTTATAGTGTTTGGACCACCAGGTAAGTGGTGTCTCACACACACATAGACGACACCAATCACACTTATATTCCCTTTCAGGCACTGGCAAGACCACAACCATTGTTGAGTCCATTCTACAGCTGCGCCTTAAGAAACCGCAAAGCCGCATTCTTGTTGCAGCCGGTTCGAACTCGGCCTGCGACACTATTGCCATCAAACTGTGCGAGTACATCACTGATAATCTTCTGCTCGTGCAGCACCAACATCTCCTGGGGTATAGGCCGCTGATCCGAATCTATTCACGCACCATATTCAAGAAGGGACTGAAATCGGTGCCGCCGCTGCTGTTGAATAACTCCAATTGCTCGGGCCATGTCTACGAGCATCTAAAAATAGGGAAGGTGATGGAGTATTCAATCATTGTGGCCACACTGGTTACTGTGGGCCGCCTGGCTTACACTGGCTTTGGTAACTTCTTCACTCACATATTCATCGACGAGGCCGGAGCCACCACCGAGCCGGAGACTTTAATGGGCATTGTGGATGTTAAGCAGAGCAACGACTGTCATGTGATTCTGTCCGGAGACTACAAGCAGCTGGGTGCAGTGATCAAAAGCGGCCGTGCTGGGTCCCTTGGCCTGAATCACTCTCTCATGGAGCGACTGCTGACTGGCTCCGATTGCTACAAGCTGGACGAGAACGGCAACTACGATCGCACCCTTCAGATACGTCTGCGCCGTAACTATCGCTCGCATCCAGAGATAGTACGCCTCTTCAACGAGCTCTACTACGATGGTGAGCTGATCGCACAGGCTGCGGACGCACAGGTCAATGTAGCCGCCGAGTGGGATGTGCTGCCCAATGGCAAGTTTCCCATCATCTTTCAGGCCGCACACGGAGTTACCAAAAGGGACGAACACACCACCAGCTCGTTCAACTATCTGGAGGCGCAGGTTCTCTGCTGGTATGTGAAGCGCTTGCTCAAACATGGCCTCGGCCCAAATGTAGCTGTGAAGCAGGAGGACATAGGCGTGGTGGCTCCATACACGTCTCAGGGCAGCCTTATATGTCGAGTGCTGGAGCAGCAAGGCTTCGGCTCTGTGGAAGTTGGCAGCGTGGAGACCTACCAAGGCAGAGAGAAGCTCATCATAATTGCCACGCTGGTGCGTTCCTTCAGCTCCATGGGCTTCATGAGTAACCCGCGACGCATCAATGTTCTCATTTCGCGTGCCAAGGCGCTGCTCATACTCATTGGCAATCCCGTCACTCTGCGCCACAATCATGACTTTAAGTTCATCATTGATGAGTGCATCAAACATCAAACTTATCTCTTCAAGAAGAAGAGTCCGAGTTTCACTCACTCGGATGACGGCACAAAAGAGAACACTGCAAATCCGCACAATGCTACGCTTAAAGCCAAGAAAGTGATGTCAGGAATGGGTAAGTGCTTAAAATACATTAAGTCTTTTCGATTTATATCCCTATGTCCCCATTCCTTTCTTTAGTAGGACCCTCCCTGTGCCCCATTTGCGCCACAATGAATGGCTTAAAGATATCCTAGAGCTGCACTCTTCACCTCACTGACTTGAATCAAACAGAATCCTCTCAAGATACCATTTTACCATTTACGCTTATGATTATTATATTTCAAGTTTGTTCTGTAAACTGTGCCATGTACGGTCATGTTGCGGTCTGTGAGGCTAATAAAAGTAGTCCATTTATTTCACTGTAAATGAGAGGGAAAGATTATGTATTATTTGATAAATGTATAAGAATTGAGCATAGAGAAATTCCTCTGACCAAATGGAGTAGTTCCCATGAATGAATGTCAACCGTATTGTGCAAGCATTATCATTTATAGTATATATTTTAAGCAGTGTCTCTCTATATATGTAATTAGTAATCAGATTAAAAAGAATACAATACAATGGAGTGGAGTGGATCCGCCTGCGTTAAGTTTCCAACATTTTTTTTAAACAATCGTTCATTGAATTTAGCTGTCGTTTAAATTCGTTCAGTCTTTGTTAATCATCAACTTTACTTGGTTAAAGTGATTAATGGTTTTACGTTTTTGATATTTTTTGTGAGAAAGAAATGCAAATGCAAAAAAAGAGAAATTAATTCAATGAAATTCTGCTGCAGATGCACAATGTTTGGTTTTTTGTTCGTTCGATATACAAAATTGTGTTTTGCCTTTTTGGTTTTTATATAATTATTATAATAAAATATATGTATGTATTTATATATATTAAATAGTATTATTAATATTCTGTGTGTGTGTGTGTAGGAAATATCAGCGCTCTCCTTGGCTGCTTCATTCGCGTGTGAGTGACTACATTTGGTTTACAGGAGCCCGGACACCAGAAGACGCTCCTCGCCACTGGCAACCCATCATCGTCAGGTTGGGTTTGAGTTTGATGCGGTGCAATTGGGTAGGTGAGTGGGTGGGTGGATGGGCTACAACAATATCTACGTGTGGGGCTTGGGCCCCGAGATTAGAGAATCATCCGTCGCACGCCGCAATCCATGCAGAACTTGGCGTGCTCGATGATGAATCTGCCGCCACATTCGTGACAGAACTTGGACATCTTCGTACTCGAACTTAGGCTGGACACAGAGGCATTGCTCAGCAGGGAATGCTGCGATGTGGTTGGCGTCAACGGAGTCATCTGCATATTGTTATTGTTGTTGTTATTGCTGTTGTATGCTGACTGGGATTGCATCTGCTGCTGATAGTTAAAGTTGCTGTCTGGTCTGTTGTGCTGTTGCTGCTGCTGCTGTTGTTCCTGCGGCGCCTGCTGCGTGGCCATTGTCAGCGAGTGCTCCGATCCACTGCTGGAGGACTCTGCGCCGTCGGTATTGCCATTGCCAATGCCAAGGCCTAGACCTGCGCCACCTCCGCCGTACAACCTATGACGTGCCTTGAGCGTGGAATAGGCATTGTGCGCCTGTGTCGAGGCATCACTCAAGACGCTGGGCAGCTTGGCACTGGCCGTGTGCGGACGCAGGAGCGTCTGGTTGCGTGGTGTGCCCGGTTGCAGGTCGCCGGAGCGCTGACGCGACAAGCTGTAGGGGGAATTGGTGCTGCAACGGAAAATACAACAAATTATTCAATGAAGACGATCTCCAGCCACAAGTACAGTTTACTCACCTGCCATAGGCAGAGTCGGAGCTTAGCTTGGAGCTAGCGCCACGACGCGACGAGTGGGACGAAGACATGGGGTAACCATCGAGGCTGCTCAGCTCATCAGAGTCCGCCGATGCTGAAGGTGTCAAGGGGGAACTGGCCTTCACTTGCTGCTGCTGCTGCTGTTGCACTGGCTCCGGTTCCATTTCCCGTGACTGCTCGTCGGGCCTTCTTATGAACAAGGTGCGAATGGAGGCGCCAGCGTCTTCACCCATCTGCCGGAACTCGCTCTGCATTTTCTGGATCAGATTCTTAGCGTTGTTCACCTGCACGGAGTCGCTCGATGATAGAGCCAGTCTGCTGGCATTGCCAGCCAACTGGCTGGCCCGATCATCGTGCTCTCCCTGGGCGGCCACGTAGGGGTTGTCCTCTGTGTCGTCGCTGATCTTTCTGAACCGTGCGTGCTCCGGCTCGTTACCATTCTCTATCTGCAGTACGTCGATGGGTGTTTGGGAATTGCCCACCATGTGACGCAGGGAGTCTGGCGAGATGGGTGAACGGCCGTGATCATTGGCCTCCGTCTCGATGCTGATGAAGATCTCCCGCTTTTGCTGATCGTCGGCGGGCCGCTGCAGTGGCAGCTGCTGCATCTTTTGTGGCATCTTCTCCTCGTGGCTGCCAATACTGGAGGAATTCGACTGCTGGCGCTGCAACTGCTGCTGCAGCTGGTGTTTCTCGTCTCCTTTGGTAATCAAACCATTCGAGTTGGATCTGTGGGCGTGAGTGTCTTTAGTGGGCTGTGATTTGGGCTGTAGTAGGCTGCTGGTGGTGTCCGGTCTCAGTGTGGCTGTCGCTGTCTGTTGTGGGGTCGAAGTCGCTTTCTGGAACGAGCGTTGCCTGCTCGTCGAGCGATTCAGCAAGAACTCGCGACAATCTTTGAACAGCGGGAACTGCTCGTCGTCATTCTCGTTCTCGAATGAGGAGAGAAACTCCTCAAAGTCAAAGTCATCAAAGGTGGGCATGTTGCCCATCTGCATGACCATTGGCAGGGGATTGGCCAGCAGTTGCTTCTGCTGCTGCTGCCAGCACTGCTCGTCGTACTCCATCGATGAGCGATTGGCCTCATCGTCCGCGGAGCACCCCGACGAGGCATCTGCATCCTCTGGCGAGGCATCGTACAGAAACTGATTGCGTCCCAGGCGCATCTTGCGCTTCAGCAGATTCCTCGCCTCGCCCGACTGACGCCGCTCGTACGTGATGGTGGACTGCGAGCTGCTTCGACTTCGGCTCTGCGACAGCTGCTGTGGCGTGGAGCTGGCCTCCGAGCTAGCTACACCGCTGGACATGTGCAGATTGTCGCAGGCATTGATCAGCTTCGGGTCGATGAACTCTCCATTGCCGCTCACTGCCGCTGGACGGCCAAAGCCGAAGATACTCTCCAGTTTGATGGGCGTGAGGCTGGCTGGCACCCCGCCGCTGATCGCTGGCATTGCCGTTGCTGGTCTGCCGATGGGCTCCAGCCGCAAGGGGGTGGCAATGGGCTGATAGTTGTTGTGCAGCCGCTTCTCATTGTTCTCCTTGCCTGGAGCTGAAGGTGTGGATGCTGCTGTGGCTGTGACTGGTGCAGACGATACCGGGGTCAAGGGCGGCAGCTGGCTGGCATTGCTGCACGCCGTCAGACTCTTGGCCGAGTTCTGCTTGCTCAGATTGTTGCTCTTGTCCTTGAGCTCCTTGCTGTTCAGCTGATTGGCCGCAGCCACCTCCGCGGCCTTGGCATTCAGCTGCTCCAGCTCATGCTCGTACTTGAGGAACACCGCCAGCGAGTCGGTCTTGGTCACATTTCGTCCTCCTGGCTGTGCCTGAGCCGCAGCCTCGCTGGCACCGCCTGCACCCAGCGGAAGCTTCAGCTGCTTGCGGTTTGACGAGCTCGTATCGCGGCGAACCACACGCGGACTGTGAAAGTCGTTGACGCAGGCGGCGCGCACCGGCATCTCGTCGTATTCCTCCGGCTTGAGGAAGTTCGTGGAGATGGGGCCCTCATCGGAGAGTCCACGTTGGATGGTGGGGCGATAGTTGGTCGCAAAAAGCGGACGACTGGGCAGAAGCGGTGTCCGTCGGGGGCCGCGCAGCGAGGAAGTGCGCCGAAAGTTGGAGGCAGGTGTGGGTTTCGGTGTGATCGGCGCTGCCTTGCCGCTTGGCATGGTCAACGAGGTGCTCATGGAGATGCTGGGTGTGGCTGTTGGCTGTACCTCCTCCTCATCCGGTGGCGTGCCGGGGGAGCAAAGCTCCTCCAGCTGACGCTTGGCCGAGAGGAAGGGATCGTACTTGTCGCTGCTGACGCTGGCTCCACTGAGGCCGCTATGCAGGGGAAAAAGAGCGCAAAATGGTAAACAAATTCGTGTGTACAGTTCTAATGGTTAACCCGCCCGTCTGTGCATCGCCCGGCTGTCGTCTGGGGAGGGGAAATGGCAGGAAAAGGAGGATGAATCAGATTAGTTGGACTACAAACCTCGTGAAGGTGCCGGCGCGGCGGCAACTGGGACGCGGTTGGGCCGTAGGTGGCTCCTTGATGTACATCGTGCCATTCTCATCCTGTTCGAGCATCACCAGGCGTCGACTGACGGTGCCGCCGCCTTGCCTGGGCAGCGGAGGCAGCTTCGTGATTGGACGCTGATCCACTTCCGCTTCCAAGTCGCTCTCCTCAAAGTGCTGCATATCCTCATCGAAGATCCTGCTCGTGGAGCCGCCCCTCATCATATTTTCTTCGCTCCATTCCAGCTCGCTCGTTTCGTCGTTGCCCCTGTCAATGACATCCCGTTCAAACTGCAGCCGATCGCTGCCGAGCTGCAGTCTGGGCAGAATCGTGTGCCCCATGGTGTGGCCGAGCTCCTCCAGGCTCTGCTTCAGCTGTGGCATATCCATTGAGCCGTTCATCTCCATCGAGCTGCTGGCTTGCTCCATCCGTTTATTGGGCCTACAAACTGTGCGCGTGGTAGTCGTTTCCATTTTGATTTGAATCTCGGCACGCGGCGAATCGTCCTCGTACTCAGAGCCGGAATAGACAACCCGCTGCCTCCGATTCACGGGCACCAGAGCGCGATCCATTTCATCATCGGTGTATGCTTCCACGATCGCTTCCTTCCCCAAATTGCGCAGCTCCAGGCTGGGATGCTCCCGTGTGCGGATCCGACAACACGCCTGCCGCACCAGCGAGGTGGAGGAACGCACCTTGGATGCCACTTTTACCAACTGCGGTGCATCTGGTATCTGCATTGGTTCTTCCAATAATTTTGTTGATTTTCCATTGGGCATGCGGCCTGAGTTGGGCGGCGTGTGGGTTGGATGAGGGAGGTTGCATCGGTTAGCTTATGGTTCGATAAATGCTAATCCTATGCTGGAAGTACTCTCCATAGGAACCTCTACAATCTCTACTTCTAGCTCTGAGAGTGCTTTGTTCTATTTCTATTTAAATGCTGCCTCCAAGAACCTACTCACTGGTTACCATAACTGCACCTGGACAGCCACTTATGCAGCTTAATGCATCGCTGATTAATAACGAGCCAGCCATGAACAAAGTTCCAGCTTCTTAGTTTAGACCCCCAGTTAATTGGGCAACTGCACGCTACGCTCAATGGAACCCTATGGAACGCCACATAGACATAATCCCTGCAACTGACGCTGCAAACGAAACCCAACGAACCTTTTTGCTTGATCAACCTATTGAGATCCTCGAATTTCAGCGGCGGCAACGACATTTCCCTCTCGGCAGCTTTGACCCTTGCGCAATTGGTTCGCCCTTTGCGTGGCTTGGGCACTGGCTGCAGCGGGGCCGCCTCCACGCAGTC